TCCTCCCTATCCACATGGAGCAGCAACTCAACCTCTTTATAAAAATGAGGGCTGATTCTCCCTGCCAGTGTAGTAACTCTTTGCCTGTTGGTCTATTGCATGAGAAGCCCAAGTGGTAGTCTAAGCTTTGGGTTTGGTGGAACCCTTACTCTTCCTTCCTTCCAAACTAGGATCTCCACTTCTGCAGAGCATGGAATTGCAGGGTCAAGAAGCACACATTCTGTGAGTGGGTCATTGGGAGTGATGGTGTTAGGGGGTACTCCTACTTCTGCCTCTTAGTTCCAGAACCAATATATTTTAGCTGTTGGGGGAAACAGCATTACATGCAGGCCATTGATTCACTGAATACTTCATCCATGAGGACAGCGCCCAGTCCTACAGGATGCTGACCCCAACTGACTCCTTAGTGGAGACTTTAACAGGCCACTTCTGTCAGGTCAGCTCTTTCTGGATGATGTCGTGTACGATAGGACTTAATGGATCCTAATAAAAACATGCTAATGGATCAACACTCTTCAGTGGTACACCAAGAGAAGCTTAAAATTTGTATCATGGAAAAGGACAGAGGAGAATTTTCAGCAGTCGAAATAAGGAGCACGTACCGCTTTGCTTCTACAATGCCATACACTTTTCTACTTTTGTTTTTGTTTTTTTGTTTTTGTTCCTGCTTGTTTTTCTGCCCCAATTGTCCTTCCTTTTATTTGCACAGGTTCAAAAACAAGCTCAACAGTCTCCTGCTCCATAAAGGCCTTCCTTATTCACCCTGGCAGAAAATAATGCCTTCTTCTTCCAAAGTCCTCCATGTACTTTATCTGTAATTCTCTGTTGTGACACTTATTGCTTGATGTATCTGTCTTATCTCCCTTACATATTCCAAGGATGCTCTCTATGTTCCATCTTTGCATCCTTTAAATAATTATAATAACTAATATTTACACAGTGTTCACCATGTGCCAGGCTGTGTCTAAGCACTTTACAAAGTCCTTCAATCCTCATAGAAACCCTACAAAGAACTATTATCCTCATTTTACAAATGAGGAAACTGAGGCACCAAGAGGTTAAGTGACCTGCCCAAGGTCATCCAGCTAGTAAGTAGCAGAGCTGGGACTCAAACCCAGGCGGTCAGTATGACTCCTGAGTCCGTGCCCTTAACCAGGAGTCCGTATTCCTTCTAAAAGTGCTAAGAACAGTGCCAGGCATGCTATTCAGGCCTCTTTAAATGTTTTTAAAATGTTCAGTAAGTGGAGATTCAGACGGCTTTGATAATAACAATTTTATCAGGTTTTCCGGTGAGTTTGTCTTCTTTGAGAACACCTGTTAGGTGAGTAATATATACTCATTGCAATGGATTGATGCCGAGATGAAGTGGTAATAAGTAAAATAAACAATATAAAGTAAAATTCTTTCATATCAATATAAACCCATTGCCGTTGAGTCGATTCTGACTCATAGTGACCCTATCGGACAGAGTAGAACTGCCCCATGGTGTTTCCCATGAGCACCTGGTGGATTCGAACTGCCGACCTTTTGGTTAGAAGCTGTAGCTCCTAACCACTATGCAACCAGGGTTTCCTCATATGAATATAGGCTAGCAAAAACGAATTACTCTGGAACACTTCTTGAGTTATATTGATGTGACTATATTTAAGTCTGTAGCAACTTGGAATAATAATTGGGAACTTAGTATTGGCCTCCTTTAGGTGATTGGTCTATGAAGTTTCTTGGATAGTGATTCACATAGAACGAAAGATTCAGTCAGTCTAGAGCAGACTCCCTGGCTGTCGTTGTTACTGGTCTTGCTGGCCATTGTGTCCTTTCAGACAAGTTCAGTGCAGTCTTAAAGAAGACAGATTTCATCTAATGAACGTTTAAAAATTATTTTGGAAGAATACACGATTTCTAACTCAAGCTTTTAAGAAGATTCCAAATAAGTTGGATAAAACATTCAGTTGCAATTCTCATGCAACCTGCATCAAGACCCATATCAAGACCAATTTTATCTGATGAGTAGAACTCAACTAACTTCAGGATATACATACTATTTTATTTTGCTAAAAACTGGATGCAGCCTCAATTGTATGAAGTAATGTGAGACTTGGAAGATAGTGTGATTATAACGAAATTCTCGTGTTAGTAGTAGTGTGTGTTAAAATAAGGTGTAATTCAAGATAGTACATTCTAGTCTATAAGTGTTTAAATAATTCATGATAGAATAACCAATAATCTGAGGCTACTTGGCATTTGAGATTGTGTATTGCAATACATAATAAAAAGCTTATCTGAAAATGTGTATGTATGTGAACCATGTTCATGTGGGGCATAGGGTAAAAAAACTTCCTCTACATTCTACGACTTCACAACTAATGGTGTTGAACACGTATTTTCTGATCGATCTTGAACCTAATTATCAGAAATCCATGCGGTGTGTCATGTTTTGTGGTTGTGCGCATCTGCCAGTTCCCTCCCAGGGGTTAAGTCACAATCCACAAAAATAAACTAATGTTGTGGTACCAATCTCTTTTAGATGCATTGAGGTTAAGTATTGCAGTCCATAGCACAAAGGCGGTTTGTTACTGGTCAATTTTTCTTCTCTGTAGATCTGCTTTTATGGCTCTGCTGACGAGCTGCATTCATTTGTCTGACGATTTGTGAGCCCTGACTGTGTGTCAGGTACTGTGCCTTTGCACCTAGGCCTTCAAGAACCAAACCTGTGACTGTCGAGTTGATAGTGACCCTGTAAGACAGAGTAGATCTGCCCCATAGGCTGGCTGTTGGATTGGCTGGTGGATTCAAACCACTGACCTTTTGGTTAGCAGCCTGAGCTCTTAACCACTGCACCACCAGAGCTTCACCTAAGCTTTAGCACATGGCATAGCCAAAGCTATTGTCCCTGCCCTTGAGAAGCCAATAGTACCATAGGGATGACAGACATAGAAACAGAGTTGGAAGGAGCAAAGAAATCCCTAATAAGTAACGTCAACAATCATTTATTTGTAGCTTTACAAGCCACACTTTTTGTGCGACATCCGGAAACAGGGAAGTTGCTGGTTAATTTTGATCCCAAAATTTTGGAAGTGGTGCGGGAAACTAAGTGCATGATAAAAATGAAGCTGGATGTACCAGAACAGGCAAAGAGATTGTTAAAACTGGAAAATAAATTGAAAGCGGATAAACTGTACTTGCAGGTAAGACAGATTATGTATTCTAATTATTTTTGACAGCTTTTTTTATTTTTTGGTAAAAGAAAAATATACTCTTGCAGTTGTGCTGATGTGGTAATGAGGAGAAATGTCTTACTATGTTGATTCTTGATGGCATTAAAATACCGACTTGCAAACAAGAGGAAAGGGAGGAGACGGTAAGCAGAAAGTGGAAAAGTATCAGAAATTAGATTTAAACTTTTAGATAATAAACTAATGAAATAGAAAGTTTAAAAAACTTTTTTGTTGTTAGGTGCCATCGAGCTGGTCCTGACTCATGATGACCCCATGCCCAATGAAATGAAACGCTGCTCAGTTCTGCCCCATCCCCATGATTGATAGGTTGCAGGTCGGACCGTTGTGATCCATAGGGTTTTCACTGACTGATTTTGAGAAGTAGATTGCCAGGTCTTTCTTCCTTTTCCATCTTAGCCTAGAAGCTCTGCTGAAACCTGCTCAGCATCATAACAACAGACAAGCCTCCACTTAGGGATGTTGGTGGCTGTGCGTGAGGTGCATTGGCCGGGAATCAAACCTGTGTCTCCCACATGGAAGGCAAGAATTCTGCCACTGAACCACACTGCCCCTAATTTTATGATTAAGTGTATTATATTTTCATAATATATTTAACTCTAAGGATACTACTATGATATAAATTAATCAAGTGGGATGACTATAAAATTACATAATGATTCTTCAACATGGTGGGGTAAAGTGAGGAAATATTGCAATTATTTTAATAGTGAGGCAGACTAAAATGATAAAAAAAATGAAAAATGAGAGATAAAAATTGACATTAAAAACTGGCTGAAAGAGGTTAAATCAAAATATATTCAAATCTTAAAGCATAGTTTCTAAAATATGAGAGCAAGTAACATCAGAATTCATTTAGAAAGGCAGTTAAAACAGCAAACTGAGTTAGCTCCTGTCTTCTTTGCTTTCTCTAGGAAGGCTGTAGATGTATATTTTGGAGGTGCAGGCAAATATGTAAGTGCAAGGATATTTTTTTCCAGCACTGTTAGTAATAGCAAAAGGTTGATATCTAAATCCCACAATAGAGAACTGATTAAATAAATCATGGTACATTCATACATTGGAAAACTGTGCCGCTGTTAAAAAAGAACAAGGCAGCTTTCTATATAGAGTTATGGAGCTATATATAGGAGGTATTCTTAAATGAATAAAAACAACACTAAGATCAATATGGAGCGGTGGTGGTTCAGTGGTAGAATTCTTGCCTTCCATATGGGAGACCCAGGTTTGATTCCTGGCCGATGTACTTCATGCGCAGCCGCCACTCATCTGTGCAGCTATGATGCTGCACAGGTTTCAGTGGAAGTTCCAGACTAAGACGCCCTAAGAAGAAAGGCCTGGTGATCTACTTCTGAAAAGCAGCAAATAAAAACTCTATAGCTCACAACAGTCTGACAGGACCAGGTAGCACTTCCGTTCCTTTGTACATGGGGTTGCCATGAGTTGGGGGCCGACTCAATGGCAGCTAACAACAGCACAAAGATCAATGGGTATGGTGTGCAATATATGTTGAAAAAAAAAAAATCATTGGCCACCTCTGGAAAGGCAACCAGGGGATGGTTTGGGAGGAGAAACTTATTTTTAGTGTAATATTGAATAGTATATCTATATACATGATGTATGTATTACTTATTCAATAATCAAAATAAACCTTGAAAAAATTCTGAATTTAGACACATTCTAAGGAAATAAACCGGACATACCGAGATTCAACTGTAAAGATCTTCATTACAGCATTATTTATAATAGTGAAATCTTGTATACAATATAAAATTATTTCCCAAGTGGAAGTGCTAAATAAATTTAAGGTGCAGCCCTATAAGAAATTAAGTAACTATTTAAAAAGACGCTTACCGAGAGTGTTTAACGATGTGGTAAACTAAGAGGACAAGACACCAACGGTATAAACTATGTCATCTCAGCTGTGTGTAAAATATGAATATTTACACCTGAAAGACTAACGATAAACATGCCATAATGTAAACGGTGTTAATCTCTGGCTAATGAGATGATGGTTAATTTTTATTTTACTCTTTATAATTTTCTGCAAGTTTGTGTTACTTCAAAAACCCAAAACTAAACCCATCGATTCTGACTCATAAAAATAAATACCATGAAAAACCATATGGATTTAAAACCAACAGTCAACAGTAGGCCTAATAACAAAACACTAAAATAATGTTCTCAAAATAGGAACAAAACAACCTCGCCTCTGGCCAGCACTCTCGTTGCAAACAGCGCTATAAATGCTCGCAATATCTAATAGAAAGGAAGAATTCATTGAGATTAGAAATATTGAAAAAGAAGAAATAAAATGTTAACCCTCTTTTCAATAACATAATTGGATATCTGGGCACTTAACCAAAATTAAGGCAAACATATGAATTTAGTATATCTAGGATAAATATAGGTTATAAGATAAACACATAGAAATTAATGGAATAGCTAATGATTCAATGAGAAAAAGAATTCTATTTGCTGTGGTGCAAAAGGTATTAGCTACTTTTATAATCGATAAGGTAATAAGTAAATAAAGACTTTTCATGTTTCTTGCTGGGAAGAGTAAATATGAATCTGCTGTTTTCAGTATGTCATTATAAAATCTCTTGGTTTAATTAAAATCCATGCCCGGGCATGCAGACAACCTGATAATGAAGTTCTCTGGGAAACTAATCTAACAAGAATATCACAGAATATTTCAAAAATTTACCCTGTTATAAATTGTATTAAATTATAAGTGACAATTATATTAATATGTGACATTAAGAGCAACAACAAAAGAGATGAAAGTATTAGAATAGAGATCCCCAAATAGTTTTTAAAATACCAACGTTATTGAGATATAATTCACATACCGTACAATTTACCTATTTAAAGCGTATCATTCAATGGCTTTTAGCATATTCAGAGTTGTGCAACAATCACCCACTCAATTTTAGGACATTTTCATCACCCCAAAGAGAAACCCTATAC